ACTCTATGGGTCAAATCAACCAACGCCTTTATCCACTCGGACATTTATATTCTCACTATAAGAACAAAATGAAATTAGATATAATCATTTGATTGAACAGCACACTGAACTTGTAGGCCTCAATATTGGTTCTAGGAACATTTGCCATAAACATATTTGCCGTAGGAAAACTTGCCTCATGAATTTTCGCCGTAGAAAAGTTGGCCGTATAGGATTTTTGCCGTAAGACAATTTCCCCGCATTTTTTTTTTTTTTTTAATAGGAAAAGTACCTTGTTATTAAGTATATATGGATGGCACTATTGTTACTTCGATTTAAACATTTTAATAAGCAAAGTTATAGGATCAAAATTCTACATCGTTCATCCTCGTCAGTGAGAAGCACAAAAACTTCAACTTGACAATAAAATCGGCGTCACGCAATTTTAAATTATTTCTTTCTTTATTTGATATATTTTTGGTTATTTATTTTTTAAATAAATGTTTAGACTTTAGTTTATTTTCTGATGTTTAACCCTGTAAAAAAAACATCCATATATAGTTGATAACAAGGTACTTCACATAATAAATTGAACATTAAACCAAAACGGACGTTCAAGATAAGGATATCGAAAAAAAATGAGGCGAAAAAGTCAGACGGAAAAAATACTATACGGCGAAAATTCATATGGCAAAAAATCCTACGGCGAGAATCAATACGGCGAAAATTCCTGAGACGAGTTTTTTTCCATGGTAAAAAAAAACAAAAAAACATTACGACGAATGTCCCGGATACGGAAGAAAGAAAGAAACACACAAACAAAGGCGAATGTAAAAAAGTGAAAGCGTATGAAGAAAAATAAAGAAAGACGGAAATAAAGAAAGAATACAGAAAAAGAAAGAAAGAAAGAAAGAATACAAAAGAAAGAAAGAAAGAAAGAAAGAAAGAAAGAAAGAAAGGTGAAAAATAAAAACAGAAGATGGGGTGAAGGGAGAAAGAAAGAAGAAAGAAAGACAGCAAAGGAAAAATAAAAAGACAAAAAAATGGAGAAAATGGAAAAAATGAAAGAAGAATAGAATGAAGAAATAAAGAAACAAACAAACAAAGGCGTATATAAAAAAAGAAGAAAGATTGAAAAAGAAAGAAAGAAAGAAAGAAAGAAAGAAAGGCGGAAATGCGTCATTACAGTCTAACGAAAAAAAAAGCACATTATTTACGAAGCATTGCTTGGAATTTGCACAAATGTTTACGGCGAATGACGAAGAAAGACATTTAATATGCTTTTAAGAACTTCAAATACCCTAATTATTTCAATTAAACGCCAGATTTTCCCAGCATTTCTTTAATTTGCGAAAAAGCTCATCTTCTGTGTTAACTTTGCTTTTACAGGCACGCATTATCACCCAAAGTTTTTCAATTGGGTTATGGTCAGGACTCTGACTAGGCCTCTGGAAGAGTTAAAAGAATGCTGGGGAAATCTGCCGAAGAACGTTGACTTACTGAGAAATTTAGTCTATAGAACGCTACGAAGAATGACGGCTGTTATTAAAGCAAAAAGTTACGCAACAAAATACGAAATCATTTTTTACTTATATAATGTACATATGTACACCTGTATTAATACCGTGTATTAATAAACGAAATCGTTTACTCACTTGGTAAAAATACAAAAATCGACTTTTTATGGATGTGGTCATTTTTTGCCTTGGATTATATATATATATATATATATATATATATATATATAAAGGATTCTCCCGTCGAGTTCGACGTATGCGGTTCTGACGACCACGAACTAATTATCTGCATGCCTATGACGGGCATGACTTTTGAGACCGGCTCGAGAACTGCACAAAAGACCACAAACAGTACAGGAGAATTTATTGTATCCATGTGCAGCAGGAACACTGTTAAATGTCTTATTTTGCTTTCTTGTTTCATGTAGCCGACTGATGGTTACTTATATATATATATATATATATATATATATATATATATCAGTTGGGTTATATCTATCTCAGTCTTTTCAGATCTATCTATATAGATATATATATTTGTGTGTGTGTATGTGTGTTTGTGTGTGTGTCAACATAACGACAACACTATCTATCATTATGATGCCCTTCTTGATTTCACTTGTATCGATGCAACAAATTGTGCACTACAGCGATAGGACTTACCCGGTATTACAATTACCGTAATTCCCCATGTATAATACGCATTTCTTCTAAAAGATAATAAGCAAAATCAGGAGTGCGTATTATGCACAGCTACAAAAAATCTGTAAAATATTGCCGTAAAATGAAATAAGAATCATCATAAAACTAAATTATAATAATATTATTCTGTTTAAAACCATTTCGTTAAAAAGAGTAGGAAACGCTGGATGTAATGAAATTGGAGAGGTACAATTTATAGGATTTGATTACCAAACAAGGGGTGTGTATTATGCATGAGTAGAAGCATTTTCTTACACTTTTAGCACAATTTCAGGTGTGCGTATTATAGATGAAGGCGTATTATATATGGAGAAATACGGTAATAGGATACTGATACAAATGCTTGCTTGCAGAACCTATGACTTAAATTGTACGCCACTCGCCGGACGAATGAGTCGCCCGGAACATCGTCAGCGAAATCGTCAATAAATCTATGGAATTGTTCACACCCAGACACGAGTTAACATTCTACGATACCCCAGTTGTGGACTTGCTTATGAGTGAGAATGAGTGACGCATACGTGTTCAGATATATTCCACAGTTTTTCTCCGTTCGCTTACGCTAATGGCGAGTAGTATGTGCGTGTGTGTAGGTATAGGTGCGCGCGCACGCGTGTGTGTGTGTGTGTATATTTGTCCATGTTGCCAACACACCTTCCCGCGCATTCGTGACGCGCATGAGCACAAGTCAGACGCAGTCCTCTCTTCTCTCTCCATAATTGCTGATCAATCTGAATTATTTTTCATAATTGCCTTTTTTATGATTCATCCCGTTTTTATATTTGGCATCCATTGAAGCCTTATTAAACAAATGAGATTGTCTCAAATACTCACCCATATATATATATAAATATATATATATATATATATATACATATATAGGATAAAGGGAAAGGAAATGGATACATATGCAATCCATAAACAGATAAGTATATATTTAAGCAAAAAAATCATTAATATTATTGGTAGATATATATTTTTCATGCATTGCTAAGTAGATTTCAACTATAAGCTGCTGTCTACTCACCACCTGATATATATATATATATATATATATATATATATATATATATATATATACACACACATATATATATATATATATATATATATATATATATATATATATGCCAAGAAATAAGCCGAATGTAAAGGACATAATTATGAAAACTAAGAACTAAAACAAACAACCGGTTTCCTTGCCATAATAAAATTTTGTACCTGTAAGAATCTTTTTCAAATATATATATATATATATATATATATATATATATATATATATATATATATGCGTACAGGTGTGTATCAAAAATACTTTTAAAAACTTTGGGGGGCATGTGAAAAAAAAAACAAGGACAACATTCTACATAAATATATATCCGCAAATCTTTCCTTTTTGTGTTATTAAGTTCAAAGTTTACGGTAGACGCTGTGAAATGTTCCAAAATTCACGTGACAATTGGCAAAAAACATACAATTGTGAAATAGCAAAACAAAGAAAGTTTGAGGACATCAAATATCAAACGTTTTTATAGATTTTTAAGATTTTTAAAAAGATTTTTAAGACTTTTTAAAGGTTTTTTTTAAAGAGTTTTAAGATTTTTTTAAAAAGATTTAAAAATCTTTAAGAATTTAAAGACTTTTTAACATTTTTAGATTAAGCTCTGAAACGTTGCATATTAGAAATGATTAAACATATCTTATTGGAATTCTCCGAGGTTTTTACAACACAATTGAACTCTACTTTGAGCAATAAGAATATATAATTACTCTCCAAGCTTAACAGAAGAATCGCGATGAAATCGATCATAAACAAAAATGACATGTTCATCAATAATTAATCTTATGTAAAGATTGAAATTTAATGGAGAATTTAATTCAAGTTCATATATATATATATATATATATATATATATATATATATATATATTCAAAATGATCTTCGTACTTTCTAACTTTCTAAGGGCAAGAGAAAAGCAACAAATAACCTACCTAACGAGGTTGTTCAAATGGTTGGCAGAACAGAGATTGGTATGTGCAGTAAAAGAATAAAAGGAAGTTGTGAAGAGCTATGTCCTAAAGGAACTCGACTCTTAGAAGAAGAAATTATTATTCTAAAGGACATTTTGAAGACATCAAGCATCGAACGAAGAATGAAATACTTACTCTCCAAGTTTAATAGAAGTATCGTGATGAAATCGATCATAAACTAAAATGACATGTTCATCATTAGTTAATCTTATGTAAGGAGTGGAAGTTAATGGAAGATAGAAATAAAATTCATATATATATATATATATATATATATATATATATATATATATCTTATTATAAAACGCAGATTGTGTGTGTGTGTGTGTGTGTGTGTCTGTAACGTTTATATGTTGGAACGAATTTCTTACATTTTTTAGCCGATTTCAACAAAGCTTCACAGGACTACATAAAATTACCTTGTGGTGGTTCTAATGGGGCCGAAAATGGGAAAAATACAGTTGTTTTTTAATAAAATCAATTTGAAAACACGATTAAGACACAACGTGAGAATGGAAGGGGGACAACTCCCCCACGAAAATGTAAACGAAAGAGCATAGCATGATGAAAAAAAAGCCGAACTTGACGAAAACAAAATTTTATCGTCTAATGTTCATATTATTATTAAAGAGGAAAGATCAAAGTATTTTGGGGGTATTTTTTTACATTTTTTAATCGTTCCTAGCACGTCTGAAATTTTCGTTAAAAATATTGTTTTTTTTGGTCAAAAAAAGGGCAGATAATCAATCATTTTCAATCATTTTTTTCGATTTGATAAAAAAGATTAAAATCTTACTTTGATATTCTTTTAAAAATCAATTATCATTTTTTCAAAACTGATTTTAATAAAAACAGAAATTATACTGTTTATTTAAAATATTTTGAACCAAGCTTAATTTAGCTTCTGCGCCGAAAAAATGTAATTTGAAAATAAAACAAAGCAGGTCATAACCTTTCGCGTCGCTTGACGATTGACGAAAGGCACATTCATAACTTACGGGAGGAGAATTCTTTCTACGGATGGAAGGAAGTGAAATTATTTAAGTGAACAAATTATTTACCTTGTTACTTTTAAGGAAAACTTTCAGCGCTCTAATTTTTTAATTTTTATTTTTTTTTTTTTTTGTACTTAGCTTTTATTTTTACGTTTACGATGCTTTATGGAAAATATAAAGAAATTAAAAAATAAGACTGTTAATAGTGAGATTAAATTTCATAAGAAAAGGTATCTAATTAATTTAGGTACCTTTCTTATGAAATTTTATCAGAAGTGTACATAAAATACTATAATTTTATGTACATTTATTACATTTTACTGTGTTATTTGTATTTCCATTCATTTTATTAATAATTTTGATATTTCATTTATGGAAAAAATGTCATAACTGAGATTAATATAAAATAAGATCATATAAATTAAAGTTTAGCAGTAGTTAAATTTCATAAGATGATACTGTTACTTGTAGGTACCCTTCTCAGTTGAAATTGAAAACTCAAATTAACTTCTCCATACGTGTTTCGCAAAAGTAAAGGGCTTAACAGCGGAGAACAATGCTGAACTCAAATAATGCAACTAAATTGTATTCTTGTTGGTCTTCCGTACTTGATAATTACTGTCCGACTATAAACACAAAAATTACATTTCTTAATTTCCATGGCTATACTGATTGGTCCAAATTATACAATTTTCAAAGCGCTAGACAATGACAATCTCACACGGACATTTTGAAAGGTTGATGTTGCTTTTAACTAATGTTAAAATATTTTTTAAAATTCAATTTAAACATTTTTTAAAAAATCTTTTTAAAATTAAAAAATAAGAAATAATTGTATTAAAATTCAATTTTCATTGAAAAATTTTTTTTGCTTTCAGAAAATATTGTCCATATTCATAAAAACAAATTAAAACAAATAAAAGCATTTGAAACTAAATAATATATTTGTTTTATTGAGTTTTGTATGTTACAATTCACAGCTGATTTTCAGGTACGTTGGCCAAAAAAAAAAAAAAAAAAAAAAACA